CGAAAGCAATAAATGCTTCGATCTCGCCGTCCTCCTTCTTACTTCCAAAAGTTCTTAGAGTTCTTAGAGTCATAGTCGCGCTTCGTAAAATCGCCGTGCTAACCGTTTAGTGAAATCGCTATAACCGAATCTTTCGAGAAGCTTCGAGGAAAATCGCCGAGATTTTCCATCACCGCGATTCCAAGCTCAATTTGGAAAAGGTGACCGCATTTAATATTCTGTTAATCTGATCTTTAATTAATTATATCTTTTGACTTTGTAACTGAATACATTAAAGAAATTCTTTTGTTAAATTAAATGAAACGGAGTTCTCTTCACTGTCGTGCATCATATCAACCTTGTGCCGTTTTCTCACTCGAATCTGTCCGCGCGGTGCGCTCTCGCACATTTTCTGGTCCTTCGAGCCGGATTTAAACTAGCGAGAAAGACAGTAAGACAAACGCCGCATCACTTTAAAAATTTCACGATCAGCGCTCTCGCTCTGGTTCGCTCTCGCACATTTTTTGGTCGTCTGGCTTTGTTTGACACCGGGGGACCTGTTGTCTTGTTGACATGTTCTACCCCATGTGCGGCTTGTTTATGCGTAACCGATGCTCGGGTTATCTCTGGGAACTCCTTTAGCATCTCCTTGAAAGGGCAATCGTCGGCGAAGGCTGTCAGTTTTGGTACGGTTCTGCAAATGAGCTGTGCGTTGACCTTGAGGAACGTGTCGCCATCAATCAGCCGCTTGTGCCGGATGTCAGGCAGCAAATTATAACGCGCCAGAAAATCCGAGTCAATTATAAACGTGTCCACTTCGGCGATAACAAAGGGCCATTGGAACACTCTGCGGAATCCTAAGTCGAGCCGTAGTAACTTCTGCCCGTATGTAGGGATAATCGTTCCGTTCGCTGCATAGAGCACCTGCTTACTTAAGTGCGCGAAATCGCGCTTTGAGGCAGGTATGGTCGAGACATCAGCGCCCGTGTTCACCAGGAAATGGATGCCGGTGACGCGGTCTTGTACCATCAAACGGCGATTCACCACCGCCGAACCTCCTGCCATCGGGGATAGTTCGGCTACTGGTTTTCCTGCTCCGTTGACGCCGTCGGCTTCCAGCTGCATGATTGCGTGCATTTGACCGCTCTGTCGCCAAAGCGTTGATGATACCAGCACGGCTTGCTCGTGGGTTGTGATTTAGAGCAGCTTCTGCGACGAGAATTTCGCGAGGCCCGCGACCTGTCGCGCGATAAATGAGCTACCAATTTAGTCACCTGTTCAGTAAGCGCGGATATTTGCGAATCTCGAGTATTAATTTTCGTCGGCGCAACCGTTGCGACGGCCATGGCGCTAGGGGCAAGCACATCCGTTATTCGGACCGCTAGTTGCGCTAGTTCCTCAAGCTCGTGCTTGCTGGCCGCTCATATTGCCTGAAACTGTTGTGCCACGAGCCGATTTCAATACTTCTTCCGATGCGCCATTTTGCGCGAGATCCCGCATCCGGCGGAGCAATTGCGACGGGCGATGGTCACTTAGGTCGACCTCGTTTAATAGTTTACGCAGTTTTTTATCGGCGCTGTCCGCGAAGCTTCTCATTAACCTGTCTTTTAGCACGGCGTATCTATCCATCGCGGGCGGATTGAGTATGATATCACTGACTTCGGACAAAGAGTCGTCGTCGAGGAATTGTATCACGTAATTATACCTCGTGTCGTCTACAGTTATGCCTGCGGTGAAGAATTGAGCTTCCATTTGTACGAACCAGAGGACTGGCTTCTTTTTCGAAAACGGTATGGACCTAATTCCGACTCGCGAAAACGCAGGTATTTCGATAATACGCGATGGTACGCCGCCGTCCGGATTGCACGCAGGGGAATCGCTTGAGCCACCAGGCATGTCGGCGGTTTATTTAGACGCGCGCGTAAGGTTAAACACAAGAGGTCACACGCGCGCAAACAAAAACAAAAACGCCGCGCGATCACGTCGGGGTCACCAGTTTGTGGCTATTGGAGCACGTGCTACGTAATATGGTGCCGGTGGTTGCCAACCACGGCGAAGGACAATTGGCGGGAAATCGTTAGGTTGAGAATGAGCACTATTCATTGCTTCTGATTTTTATGCCATGAGGCGATTTAATACACACTTAATATCTAACTAACTAAATACTAAATACAAATGTAGATTAGAAAGTAGAGACGTGATTGCGCGTGTAAGACTCGGATACCGGCATCGTGTCGCGGAGTTACAATACTATAACTATGGAATTAGACTCTAAGAAATTATCTGACGACGCTAACAATTATCACAGACATGAACAGTGATCGGTATCGGTCTCGCGGAATACACAAAGTAATTCGGAACCTCAACTTCCGCGTTCTAACTTACTGACTATCGCAGAGACTTACACGAGGTTTGCACGCGGCACGCCATGACACCAGAGAGAGTGAATGGAAGAAGTAACGGAAAGAACGACCGTATCAGCGCCGCGACGGACGCATGCAGCGCCGCCATTGGCGCTCGCAGCGCCGCAGCTAACGTTCGCAGCGCCGCAACCAACGTTCGTAGCGTCGCACGAGGATAGCAGATCGTTTGGAGAAGCGAATAGGGGCGAGAATAAAGTACACACAAATTAACAATAACAAAAGTAACAAATATATTAAGTGAGTCTTCGACTCTATTCACATCTGGCGATACAATCGAGACAATAATCTCTACTTGAGCGCAATAACTGATTTACATAGTCCCCGCGGTTTCACGCTAGGTGTATCAACTTCGTTAAATTCTCGCGACACGAGCTCACGCCACACGGGAATACTCTCGCGAATTATACGAACCATACTTCATCGCCTCGCAAATGCTAAGGAATGTGTGGCAACGATTGTAGCGTAGACACGGCGTGACCTCGTGCGTGCTCGCGGAACCTCGCATCGCTCAGCTGAGATGCAGAGAAGGCTCGAATACGTGCAAACGCGACACTACGCAGCCTTGACACAGAATACGCACACTTATCAATTGCTATTATAAATTGACTTTAATGGTCATGACACAGAAGACCGAATAAATATGCAAATCTTACGCTACAGATGCTCCAGACGACACGATACGCGACAATACTACGACACGAAACTTCGACGCAACATATGATCCGCGATAAAAAAAAAACTGACAACGAGTGACGAGGCTGTGGCCTTGGAGGACGCCTTAGAGTTATCCCGACGACAAGGACAAGGCAACACGCGTACTCGAGTCCCGCGAAACTCTAGTGTAACGGTAATGCCACGTGCACTCACTATTATACGCCCGATAGAAATCCGATAAGTTATCCGCCTCCCGGATGCGGAAACCGGCGACTTTACAGGGGTGACGCTTGTCTCACCGTGACTCTCTCGCAGGTGCTCGTCCTAGTCAACCTTGGAAGCTGACGTCCTGTGTCCTCTCGCGTGTTCTTGCCAAGCTGGCCACAGCTCAAGTGCCGGGCGCTAATCCTCCCGGGCGCACGCAGAGCTCGTTATCCCCGCGAGGGGGCCTTATCGCGTCTGATTGGCGCGCAGCCCCGCGGTTCCGTTAATCGCGGAAACCGCGTCATATCCGTCGCATGTCCTGGCGCGCGAAATTCGAGAGATCGCGGGAGTCTTTTTCAGGCCGCTTCGTGGCCCCGAGGCGCCTATCCTGGGTTCTCGTCGTCCTTGGGGCGTAGAGTGGCCTTCCCCGTCATGCCGTATGACTCTCGATCCGCTTTGTGCCTGGAAGAGGGTGCGATAAAAAAATGCTTTGCGATAATCAAAAGGGCGTAACAATGCAGTAAGGATATCACCTACGTGCGACCCGGGGTCAGGTATCGTGTGCCCCCGGCGGGTCTGTCATCAGCGGTCGTTTCCCGACTCCCAATCCTGATCGTTCTTCCTCCTCTTCTCTCCGGTGAGGTGGCGTCACTCCGCCAAGGTCGCGGGAGTCGCCGGCCTCTGTACGCTAACCCTCGGTACGGGAACACACCGAAATGGGAAAACGAAAACGACAGCGCGGAACGCGTAAGGTACGCAAACGACGTCGCGGGAAAAGCGCAGGTGCGTCCGCCCTTAAAATGTGAGAGGACTCAGGACGCTATACTGCACCGTTCAGTCAGGCTATGCGGCCCTTGTGACGGACGGAAACGTCACAATATATATTGGGTCATCTAAAAAGTATCCGCGGTTTTT